AGAACCCTGTACATAGAACCACTTTTACTGATTTTTTTTTTTTTTTTTGAAAATAAAATCAAAGTAACCATTCTTTGGCCTCCATAGCCAGCCTGAAGGAACTTTTCACTTCCAAGCAGCTGTTCTTACCGAAGACTAGGGAAAAAAACTGTTCTGTCCTGTAACCTCTGGTAGAAAAGGTCAGACTCCCAAAATGTTCTCTTGTCACACTCATCTGATGTGTGCACATGACTCAAAGTACAGGTCATGGTTGTATGCAAACTTTTTTTTTTATGGAGTTGGATATATATCACTTACCAGTCAGTACCTGCCTGAGGGCTACCCCCACCCAGTGTTTCAAGATGTATTAGAGCTTCATCAATTACTCAGATCTGGACTAATTAATCAACTCAGTCAGTTTCTACATGACTTCAATTGCCTTGCTACAGTGTCAGAATCAGCTAAATGTCTGGAAACTATCATCTGATGTTACCTGCGTGGAACTTCCTTATGAGTGCTTTTTTTTTTTCTTTCCGGAAAACAGATGATGTGCTAAAATAAAACTGTTCTGATTTTTATTTTAACCAGTTTGGACAAAATTTTTTCAACTTAAATTAGTAACATATTTATTTTAAAAGTTTCAGGCTTAAAGGTAGTTAGAATAATAATGAAAACTGATATGTCTACTGTCTATCCTAGGAAATAAAACATTATAAATATAATTGAAACTGCTGATATATTCCTCCCAGTTTATATTTTCTCCAGTTACAATTCTCATGCTTATCTGTAACAGATTAATTTTACTCATTTTTGTTCGTGGGATTTATCTATGTGCATGTGTAGCTCTAGTTTAACAAGTCCCCAACCTTTTTTGCACCAGGGACTGGTTTTGTGGAAGATAATTTTACCACGGACTGGAGTGGGGTTGGATTGGGGGCGGGGGGATGATTCAAGGGCACTGAATTTATTGTGCACTTTATTTCTATTATTACATCACTTCCACCTCAGATCATCAGGCATTAGATCCCAGAGGCTGGGGACCCGGCTCTAGTTCATTCTTGTTCATTGCTCTCCATTTTGTCATTGCCTTCTTGATAGGTATTTAAGTTGATTATTTTTTTTTAAACAAAATTTTAACATTTTGCTGTAATAACACCTTGATGGACCTTAAGTTGCCTTTTGATGCACAGAAGTTAATTTTCTTTATGGTTTGTTTTTTGTGTCTTATTTTAAGAAATCTTTTCTTACTTTGAAATGATAAGAATATTCTGTTTAGCTTACAGAAACTTATTTTTCACATTTAAGGCTGTAATTCACCTAGAATTGAGCTTTGTGTATGTAAGAAGTAGGGATCCAGGGTTTTTTTCTTTTGAAATAGATATTTCTTATGAAATGGGTCCTAACAATTTTTATTGAATAGTTCATATTTTGATCTATAAGCTACTGTTGATCTGTGAACTGTCCATGAAACTGACCTGCATTTTCACTTCCATCAAGACCACGTTTCAATATATGCATGAGTTTAATTCTGAGCTTTCTTTTTCTTTAGGTGTTATTTCTGTGCTAATCATCACCACAGCCTTATTTACTGTAACTTTTCATTCAGCCAGGGTCCAGTCAGGAGAACAAAACCACTCTTAAGTATTTCAAGCCAGAACGGTTTAGTATGGAGAACAGGGCACTTCGCAAAACAGTGGCGTGACTGCCCAGTGCAGGAAGTGACTGAGTGCTGCCTCCCAGGCTTGCCACTAATTTTTAGGAAGTCAGGAAGGTGCAGAAACTACAGATCTCTGAAATTAATCAGTTGTTACTGATGATTTACAAAAAACACGTGAAGGTTGCTGCAGAATCACACGTCTGCCCGTCCTAGACAAAGGAGCAGAAATACTCTACGGCTTCTCCTCTGCCCTCCGGTTTTAGGAGAGCCTTCCACTGGGAATCTAACCTGAAACCTGCTGGCAGGGTCCAGGGAACTAAGCTCCTGGACACCCAGCCCTGTGAGTGGGAGAAGGGACAGGGGTGTGACTTGCCAGCAGGCCTGCTGGCCTAGGTTCTTACTAGCCTCACTCTGTGTAGAACAGTCCTCCCTTCGCTGTACACACTCCGTTTCATTATCAGAACCCTGAGTCCTTTGCTATATGAACTCTTCAATGATCTTGTTAAGAACAGGATTTTAGATGGCCTTACATCTGATTTTCACACTAAGTTTGAGATAATTGACCCTTTATGGTACTTGGGCTTCCTGCCCATGACCATGATCCATCTTTCTTGTTAATGTCTTTCAGTAAAGCTTTATGTCCTCTACATGAAGGTTTTGTGTCTCTCATTATAATTAAACAACACTCAATTAAAAAAAAAATATATATATATATATATGCTATTTAGATGGTGGCGGAATACATAATGTGAACGAAACGCAAAGTACCTATCTGATGGGCCTTCCATCCATTCAGTTGCTCAGTCGTGTCTGATTCTTTGTGATTCCATGGACCGCAGGCAGCACACCAGGCTTCCCTGTCCATCACCAACTCAAGGAGCTTTGCTCAAACTCATGTCCATCAAGTCAGCGATGCCATCCAACCGTCTCATCCTCTGTCGTCCCCTTCTCCTCCTCCCTTCATTGTTTCCCAGCATCAGGGTCTTTTCAGATGAGTTCTTCGCAGTTCTTCGCATCAGGTTTCCAAAGTATTGGAGTTTCAGCTTCAGCATCAGTCCTTCCAGTGAATATTGAGGTCTGATTTCCTTTAGGATGGACTGGTTGGATCTCCTTGCAGTCCAAGGGACTCTCAAGAGTCTTCTCCAGCACCACAGTTCAAAAGCATCAATTCTTTAACACTCAGCTTTCTTCATAGTCCAACTCTCACATCCATACATGACTACTGGAAAAACCATAACTTTGACTAGATGGACCTTTGTTACTAAAGTAATGTCTCTGCTTTTTAATATGCTATCTAGGTTGGTCATAGCTTTCCTTCCAAGAAGCAAGCATCTTTTAATTTCAAGGCTGCAGTCACCATCTGCAGTGACTTTAGAGCCCAAGAAAATAAAGTCTGTCACTGTTTCCATTGTTTCCCCATCTATTTGCCATGAAGTGATAGGACCAGATGCCATGATCTTAGTTTTCTGAATGTTGAGTTTTAAGCCAACTTTTTCACTCTCCTCTTTCACTTTCATTAAGAGGCTCTTTAGTTCCTCTTCGCTTTCTGCCATAAGGGTGGTATCATCTGTGTATGTGAGGTTATTGATATTTCTCCTGGCAGTCTTGATTCCAGCTTGTGCTTCATCCTGCCTGACATTTTGCATGATGTACTCTGCATGTAAGTTAAATAATCAGGGTGACAATATACAGCCTTGATGTACTCCTTTCCCAGTTTGGAACCAATCTGTTGTTTCTTGTCCAGTTAGAACTGTTGCTTCTTGATCTGCATACAGATTTTTCAGGAGGCAGGTAAGGTGGTCTGGTATTCCCATCTGTTGAAGAATTTTCCACAGTTTGTTGTGGTCCACACAGTCAAAGGCTTTGGCATAATCAATAAGACAGATGTTTTTCTGGAATTCTCTTGCTTTTTCAATGATCCAACGGATGTTAGCAATTTGGTCTCTGGTTCCTCTGCCTTTTCTAAAACCAGCTTTAACATCTGGAAGTTCATGGTTCACATAGTTTTGCAGCCTGGCTTGGAGAATTTTGAGCATTACTTTGCTAGTGTATGAGGGCTTCCCTGGTGGGTCAGATGGTAAAGCATCTGCCTGCAATGTGGGAGACCCGGGTTCGATCTCTGGATCGGGAAGATCCTCTGGAGAAGGAAATGGCAACCCATTCCAGTACTCTCGCCTGGAAAATTCCATGGACGGAGGAGCCTGGTAAGCTATAGTCCATGGGGTTCCAAAGAGTCAGACACGACTGAGCAACTTCACATTTTCTCTTTGCTAGTGTGTGAGATGAGTGCAAGTGTGTGGTAGTTTGAACATTGTTTGGCATTGTCTTTCTTTGGGATTGGAATGAAAACTGACCTTTTCCAGTCCTGTGGCCACTGCTGAGTTTTCCCAATTTGCTGGCATATTGAGTGCAGCACTTTCACAGCATCATCTTTTAGGATTTGCAATAGCTCAGCTGGAATTCCATCACCTCCACTAGCTTTGTTCATGGTGATGCTTCCTAAGGCCCACTTGACTTCACATTCCAGGATGTCTGGCTCTAGGTGAGTGATCACACCATTGTGGTTATCTGGGTCATGAAGATTTTTTTGTATCGTTCTTCTATGTATTCTTGCCACCTTTTCTTAATATCTTCTGCTTCTGTTAGGTCCATACCATTTCTGTCCTTTATTGTGCCCATCTTTGCATGAAATATTCCTTTAGTATCTTTAATTTTCTTGGAGAGATCTGTAGTCGTCCCCATTCTATTATTTGCCTCTATATCTTTGCATTGATCACTTAGGTAGGCTTTCTTATCTCTCCTTGCTGTTCTTTGAAACTCTGCATTCAAATGGGTGTATCTTTCCTTTTCTCCTTTGCCTTTTGCTTCCCTTCTTTCACAGCTATTTGTAAGGCCTCCTCAGACAACCTTTTTGCCGTTTTTGCATTTCTTTTTCTTGGGAATGGTCTTGATCACTGCCTCCTGTACAGTGTCACGAACTTCTGTCCATGGTTCTTCAGGCACTCATCAGATCTAGTCCCTTGAATCTATTTGTCACTTGCACTGTATAATCGTAAGTTAGTTGACGTAGGGCATACCTGAATGGTCTAGTGGTTTTCCCTACCTTCTTCAATTTAAGTCTGAATTTTGCAGTAAAGAGTTCATGATCTGATGAACATATAGACCTTGCAGCAAACTAATTGTTGACTGTATTACCATTTGATAGTAAGAACTGTGATGAGAACTAACGTGGAGTAAAGGGTATAGAACATGATTGCAGATAATACAGTGATAGAGGGGCAGCATCTGAGGGGTGAGAGAGCAGACGCTGAGTGGGGCGAGTGAGGAAGCCAGGAGGACTCCTGAGAGCAACCCGTGCAGAGGCATGAGCAGCCGGCATGTCCGGGCTTCTGTGGGGAGTAAGCGGGGGCAGCGGTGGGGCCAGACCACGGAGGATGCACAGGCCGCAGGAGGGCTGAGAAGGCTTTGGAGCAAGCGCTTTAGGTGAGCTGTTGCATGTTTAAATGCAGTTGCTGTGGCTGCCCTTACGGAGAACAGAGTGTGGGGAGGGAGGGTGGGCACTGGAAAGACCAGGAAGGAGGCCTGACGGGCAGCGAACAGGTGGCAGCGGTGAGACGGCCAGCAGGTCTGCGCTGGACTGTGTGAGGCGTGAGAGAAGGGAGCGTGGGGGCATGGCCTCCCTGATTTTGTCCTGAGCAGCGGGTTAGAGCTGCCGTTCCGCTGAGAGGCAGGAGACTTCAGAGGGAAGACGACTAGGGAGAAGAACTGGTGGTCTTTGTAACCTGATACGTATTGATGTGTGACACACACACGGAAGAGTACACAAACTGTCACTGCATGATGATTTCTTCCCAAGTGAACCCATCTAGATAGGCATGTACCAGGAGTAGACAATATCCTAACTTTAACACCACCAGTTTGTTTTGCTAGTTTTTGAACTTTATGTAGACGGAAACACATGGTATATATTCTGACTTCTTTCACTCAACATTCTATTTTAAATATCTGTGCTGTTACACATGGTTGACATAGCGTTTTCCATTGTCTGATACACAGTCATTGGTTTAGTCATTCAGTATTTGATCATCCAGTTTGTCGACTTTCTATATCCTGTTTAAGAAACATTTTCTTACCATAAGGTTATAGAGATAATGTCTTATGTTTTCTTCTAAATATTTTCCGTTGATTTTCTGCCATTTAGTTTCATATAGCCCACCAAAACTTTACCTGTGGAGGTCAAGATTGATTTTTTAAAATATGTATATCCAGTCGAACTACCTCCATTTATTGAAAAGTCTGTTCTTTCTCCACTGTAGTACAGTGTTGTCTTTGTCATAAATCATGTATCTGTTTCTAGACTTCCTATTGTGTTTCATTCATGTTTATCTAACTTTGCATCAATACTACTGTCTTAATTTTTTTGAGGTTTAGAGTTCCATGCATGTAGATTTAATAAGTGCAAAGAGAAACAAAATAAACTAAAAGCCAGCACCCAAACAAACGCCACATATGCACGGTGTCCCTTTGCATTGCACTCTAGGAGGAGCCACCAGCACCCGGCCCCCACCCTGTAACCGAGGGTGGGAACCAACCCCCTCCCGGAACGCTCTCCCCGACTCTCTGCTAGACTCTGTGGCCAGGGCACCACCTCCCTGGGCCCCGATCGCAGCCACCAGGGTGCTGGGACAGAGTCAAGCGGAGGGTTCTAGTAAGATCTCTCCATGGAAATCAGTGCCATGATTTTAGGACAGACAGCCGCCTCATCTGCTGGGAAAATCATCTTTCATGCTTGGGCATAAGAAACCTTACATAATTTGCATACAGTTTGTAGTAAAGGAGATTATTTAGAATAAATGCAGGTAACTCATTGTGATAGTGGCAGATTCAGTAGCTACGGAAGATGTATTTTGGGGGTAGAAAGACGAGTCAGGGCTTACAGTGCAAGACGCTGGAAAGCACAGAACTACGTCCTCCCCTCTCCCCCGCTTGCCACCAAAGTTCCATTTTTGCATTTTCGTTTTCTTGTGATTCCCTTGTTCATCCAAGCACCACAACAGTTTCTTTCTTTTTTTTTTTTTGCCACAACAATTTCTAAACACTCGAGCGTTTAGGATGTGAATGCCCTATATATCGGTGTGCGGTATTTGAAAGTAAAAACTCTTAACCAGAGAATAAAAAAAGACGGGAAAGGTTTCTGACAAAGCGCAGTTCTACTTGTCTTAATTATAGCTTTATCAGTTCACTTTAGGTCAGTCGCTCAGTCGTGTCCGACTCCGTGACCCCGTGAATCGCAGCACGCCAGGCCTCCCTGTCCATCACCAACTCCCAGAGTTTACTCAAACCCATGTCTATCGAGTCGGTGATGCCATCCAACCATCTCATCCTCTGTCATCCCCTTCTCTTCCTGCCCCCAATCCCTCCCAGCATCAGGGTCTTTTCTAATGAGTCAACTCTTCGCATGAGGTGGCCAAAGTACTGGAGTTTCAGCATCAGTCCTTCCAATGAACACCCAGGACTGGTCTCCTTTAGGATGGACTGCTTGGATCTCCTTGCAGTCCAAGGGACTCTCAAGAGTCTTCTCCAACACCACAGTTCAAAAGCATCAATTTTTCGGCTGTTAGCTTCCTTCACAGTCCAACTCTCACATCCATACATGACTACTGGAAAAACAGTAGCCTTGACCAGACGGACCTTTGTTGACAAAGTAATGTCTCTGCTATCTAGGTTGGTCATAACTTTCCTTCCAAGGAGTAAGTGTCTTTTAATTTCATGGCTGCAATCACCATCTGCAGTGATTTTGGAGTCCAAAAAATAAAGTCTGACACTATTTCCATAGTCTCCCCGCCTATTTCCCATGAAGTGATGGGACCAGATGCCATGATCTTAGTTTTCTGAATGTTAAGCTTTAAGCCAACTATATAGCTTTATAGTGGAGCTTATTTTCTGGCCATGGAACTTATCAAGCTTTTTTTTTCCCCTCCTAGACTGCCTTGGATACTCTTGGCTCCTCTGCATTTCCATACAAAATTTAGAATCACCTTGTTAATTTCTAGCCCCCCCCAAAAAAAAAAACTCAGCTGAGGATTTTCTGTAATTTACACACAGTAAGATGTGTAAACTTTGCAAGTACGATTCGATAAGTTTTGACAAACATCCACTCATGTAATGAGCACTCCAGTCGAGATCCAGGAACAGTCGCATCACGCTAGGACAGTCCATCGTGTTCCCTTCCCATAATCCCCTTTTCCTCCCAGAGGCAACCTCTCGATTTCTGTCGCAGTAAGTTTGTTTTGACTGTTCTAGGACTTTATATAAATGGGATCGTCAAGAATGAACTCTTGTGTTTGACTTCTCTGCTCACCTCAGTGTGACTGATGCTCACTCCCATCGCCGCCCCCATCCTTCATTCCGTCTTTCTGTAGCGCTGTGCCCCTTGTCTGACTGTACCATGGCTCCTTTATCCTGCCACTGGAGTTTTCCCATTTGGGGGCGCCCGTGAACAGAGCTACGGTGGACATTCCTGTAGGAGTCTCTCTGTGGGCATCTGTTTTCATTTCTCACAGGCAAACGCTTGGACATAGGATTGGGTGGGTGTGTATTAAGTTCTATGAGAAACTGCTGAACAGTTTTCAGTAAATGGTTGTATCATTTTGGTTCTGGATATGCACCAACACTTGGTGTGTGTGGCCAGTGTCTGATTTAGCCATTCTAAAGGTAGGAAGTGTTTTGTTTTTACTGGGATTTTAATTTGCATTCCCAGATGACTAATGGTTCTGAGCATACTTTCATGTGCTTATCGATCATTTGTACGTCTTCCTTTGTGAAGTTTCTGTTCCGATCTTTCATCTTTAGTGTTTGATATCTTATTGGTGAGTTGCAGTTGATAATAGATATATTCATTCCAGATACAGCTGTGCCATCAGGTAAAGTTACTGTGAAAAATTTTCATGAATATTCTCTTCTAGACTGTGCTTGCCTTGTTATTTTCTTAGTGATGTCTTCTGAAGAGCACAGGGTTTTAACTTTGATAGAACACCATTTAGTTTTCTCTTGTGGTTAGTGTTTGTTGTGTCCTATGAAATCTTTGCGTAACTTGGAGTCAAGAGGTACTTTCCGATGACTGAAGCTTTATAATTTCAGCTTTTATGTTTAGGCGTATGACCCATCTTGAGTTACGTTTTGTAATCACTGAGGTTTTATTTTTCTAAAGATATGTCCTTGTCTTAGTGCCGTATGTAGAAAATACTGTTCTCCCCCCCTGTCGAGTTCCGTTGGTGCCCTTGGTTGAAAAGCCATTGACCGCCCATGTCTAGGCTCTCTTCTCTTTACATTTTTCTGGGCTCTCTTCTGCCCATTGCTTGTTGATATCCCAAAACTGCGTAGTCTTACTGTAGCTTTAAAGTGAATTTTGAAGGCAACTTTTTTCAAGTTTGTTTTGACTCTTCTAGATTCTTTCCATTTCCAAATAAACTTTAAATATAACTTGGCGGTTTCTAATAAAAAGACTAAGACTTTTTCCTGTTTATGTCAACATTTTCGTTACAGCTGTGGTTCTGTAGATGAGTCTGGGGAGAATTAACATCTTAACAATATTCAGTGTTTCACCTGTCAATGTAGTATCTTTCTCTATTTATGTCTTTAATTTTTCTCAGTAGTGGTTTGTCTTTTTCAATGTAGAAATCTTACTTGCCTTTCGTTAAATTTATCCCTAGGTATTTTTTCATCAACTTTATTGAGGTATAATCTACATATTATGAACTTTACCCATTTTGACTATAGAGATCAATGTGTTTTAATCAGTTTATATTTATTGACATAATAGTAAACCGAATGGGTTTTAATTTTGTTTTCCAGTGTTTGTTGCTACTATATAAAACTACAGTTGTATTTACATTTGGTTGTGGTGTCAGTTACTTAAAAATCTCTATTGAGGAGTTCCTAGCTTCTTATTTCTCTGTAATATTGGAGTGTTCAAGAGAACAGACCACTGCATGTACAGATAAGGTAAATTTCATATCCTCGCTCACTCTGACCGTGTTTTGGCTGCCCGGGACCATGTGTGCCTAGTGGCTGCTGGGTTGGACAGTACAGGCCATCGTCATCGTGTCAAAAAGCACTGCGTGGGGTGAGGGGGTGACCCCACCTTGGGATTCACCTGTCTCCTCAATCTGTATTTACAGTAAATTGAAAGTTCCATGCCTGTGTTTAAAAGCCTGATTAAATGCAGATTACAGTTTTATTTCACGTCCATCTCATAGGTGATGCCGGGTGCTCTGTGCTGCATCACAAAGAACGGAGAACTGACCACTGGATTTTACAGTGCGGATGTAGCGCCTGATCTTGTCTTGGCAAAAGCTTGATTTGAAGGGTGGTTCAGGAGAGAAGTGGGCGAGTGGAAGTGCTGCACTGAGTACAGAGCTTTGTTCTGAAAGAAGCTGAAAAACGGTGGGTTCTGGCTTCGGCGGGTTCGCAGGACCGGGATGTGGGGCTGCTGGAGTGAGTACAGCGCGCCAGTGTGTGAGGGAAGGCCTCCCCTGAGAGGAACGCTCCGACGGTGCGGGTCCTTCAGCCAGCAAGCGAGAGCCGGCCTGGCCATGGAGGTGGGGGCCATGGAGTGGTCCCAGGTGGTCCCCCACGGTGACAGGAGGGTGGGCTGAGCCTAAGCTGTAGGAACGGACTCGGGGCTTCTCTTCGATCGATTCCATTGTTTATTTACACCCAAGATCACAGAGGCCCCTCTGGATGGCCTTAGACTTGGGTGTCGTCCATTTCACGTGTATATCTTACTCCTTAGCTTTTGTTTCCATCTTCAGTTTGCTGGCTCTTCTTCCAGCTTGCTTCTTTTTCACCATGTATTCCATATCCACAGTGAAGGCCCTGTTGAGGCCTCGTCACCTGCAGCTTTCCTGGAGCCCCTGCGCCGGCTCAGCCCAGCCATTCAAGCAGGGCACAGCGGGGGAGCCATGATAGGCACTTCCATTCATCAAGCTGTTTGGACCATTCACAACACAGGAGAGAGCAGCGTGTAAGTTAAGGATACAACTTATTTTATGGACTTTTATATCTGTTTTAACTTTCCTGCCTTCTTGGGGATGGGGCAGGCTACATTCCGTTTATTACAACAAACCCTCAGTAAGTATTTGTAGAGTCAATGACCTCTGAAATATTAGGTAAGAACTATCTGTTTTTTATGAATTACATAGCAATTTTATATTTGCATTTTGGGTTCAAAAAGAAAATGGCTACACTTCAGGAAAAAACTTGTATAACTTCTACTTATGAAAAAAAAATATTCAGACTTGACAGAATGCTGCCTGGCAGATCAGAATTCAAACCCATTTACCTGTCCCAGCTAGAAAGGCAGACTTTGAGCTCTGCTACTGGAATTCAAAATTATTTTAAAATTTTAGAACTTTTTAATATACATATATTGAGGATATTTATATATTTAAGAATGTATCATTCCCTGAAGCCCACATGCACAATTGCTGCAAATCTAATAAATATCTTGAGATTGGATGCAAATTCATTTGGGAGGCAGAATGTTTCCTTAATGCCAACACGTCCCTTTAATGTATTTGGATCCAGATGTTTCAACCTCATTTGCTGGAGTGGATGCAGCATTAGTCTGTCAAGTTCCCTGCTGTTTGCCATTATTTAGTATTGTTAGAGTCTGTAGGCTTGCACGCTCATTGGGAGAGCTGAAGAAAGGATTTAAACTGGAAAAGGTACCACCAAGCTGTGGCCCTTGTCCAGAATTCCTCAGGTTAAAAACAACAAAACAGGGACTTCCCTGGTGGTCCCGAGGTTAAGAACCTACCTTGCAGGGACAGGAGGGCGGGAAGGAGAGGGACAGGGAAAGACCGAGAAAGAAGGGGAGAAGGAGGGAAGGAGAGAGAGAGACAGGGCGAGAGAGAGAGAGACACGGTGGTGCGGGGACACGGTTCAGTTCCTGGTAGAGGAGCTAAGATCCCTGTGCCTGAGAGCAGTGAAGCCCACGCACCACAGCTCCAGGCTCCCTGCACCTCAAGGACAGACCCCGAACGATGCAGGGGAGGCACCTGGTGCAGTCAGGAGCCAGACGAAATATTTTCAAAATCCTTTAAAAAAAAAAAAAAGTGACTATAATAAAGCGTTAGAGTACTAAAATTACAAAGCAGCCCCGTTGGACTTCCCTGGTGGGCCAGTGGTTAAAGCTCCGTGTTCCCACTGTGGGGGGCCCGGGTTCGGCCCCTGGCCGGGGAACTAGACCCCACACGCGGCGCAGCACAGTCCTGCTGCTAACTACAAGGTCCCCCGCACACGAATACCAGATCCTCACCAGGGGCCGCTCTCTCCTTCTGGGAAGCGTCCAACAAACTTCGGACACGCAAATTCTCCAACTCTGACAAATTACATAAATCGTGTTTTCTAAGGTAACAGGGACCACACAGCTGTGCTCAAAGACCCTTCGTGGCGCTGTGCCAACCTCGCATCCTTCTGTCTGCTCTGCAGATTGTTAAAGTCCCTCTCTGCTTCAGCAGTAACCGTTTCCTAAAAAACAGCTGGGCTGCGTGGGGTTTCCCTCACACTGACAGACCTGTCTCAGTACTCCTAAAGTAGGGAGTCACAGGTCTGCTTTCGTGTGTGATCACAGGGTAAACCTTGGACTTCGCGGCACCCCAGTTCTCAGAGTGGTGACGTGCTCCGTAGTTTAGTGCTGACTGCTTTTCTGTATGTGGGTGTCTTTATAGATACCACTTAGGGGCAGAGCTCTGGCCCTTGGGAATCCCACGCGAGTGTTCATGAGCAGAGGCAAGATCAGTGATGCACTTTAAATCTACATTTTCCTACTTTTAATGGAGAAGGAAATGGCAACCCACTCCAGTATTCTTTACCTGGAAAATCCCATGGACAGAGGAGCCTGGAAGGCTATACAGTTCATGTGGTTGCAAAGAGTCAGACACGACCGAGCAATTTTCACTTTCTTCCTAGTTTTAAAGGCATAGAAATTTAATGGTCATTATTTTATTTCCGATTTTTATGTCCAGATTCATATATGAAATGGGCTTATACTTTTTCTTATACTATTGATCTTAGAATTAAGAATACCATCGTGGAGTGATTTTAATATCTTTTCTTATTTTTATGTTTTCTTAAACCATTGAAACCACCGGTCCCTGGAAGTTTAGTGAAATATATGCACAACCTTCTGGGTCTGTATTCTTTGGAGAGTTGGATAAAGGGCAAGGAGTTATGGATACCATTTTAATTTTATGGGCTCTGGTTTTGTTTTCCTTCCCTTTGGGTACCAGAGATTTTAGTATTTTTTTCTAAAAGTTTGTATAATTTTTGTTGTGTAGTTGCCAATAACACTTTTCACTCATTCTTAAATTCCTTATGAGACAGTTCATGTGTGTGAATAAGGAGTTGTACATTGCAGCTCTTTGAAGTCACGTGCTTACCACTCCTGCATCTGAGGCTCACCATTTACATTTAGGGGTCCCTCAACTATGTAAATATGAATGCCTAAAACATACCAGGTGTTATCTTGCATTTTCACATATTTTGGCATAAAAGTATTCATAGCATTTTCTGATTAATTTCTGCTGCAACTTTAGCTGTACCCACTTTTCCTTTTCTGTCTCACACACATGACCAACCTTCACAGAAATGGGTATATTTCACTTTTGGCAGAGTTTATCATGTGGTCTTCTGTGCTGTCTGTTATGAGTTTCTGTGTTGTCCCCTCCCTTTTCTCTCTGGGCTTGTTGTCACTGTGCTGATGTCAGTCACGCGCTCAGCGGCGCCTCCTTCCCAACAGGCCACTGGCTGTTCAGAGCATCCTGCCTCACTGGCTGGGCTTTAAACAGTTACATGTTTAAAATTAACCTTGAAAATAAGTATTTAGGTCTGTAATTTTTCTCTAAAAATGCCACTTTGACTGCATCCACTAATTTTCATGAAATTTTAAATCAATTTTAAGCTATTTATGTATTTCCTGAAAGTGGCATGTAAGCAGAACTAAGAATAAGTTTATATTTTACTTTATCGGGTGAAAAAGATTGTGGTATACTGTGCAAACTTCCAGTCTTGAACAGAACAAATAAGAGACATCTGTCATTAATAAAAGTGAACCCCAGAAACTCCCAAGGTGGAGCCGGAGGCCTCTGTGTGTTCAGATACAGAAGGTCAGCTCTGCTGTGCACTTTCTCTGGCTCTGCTCCTGGCAAACATGAGGCAGAAGTACATTCATAAGGATAAACTCCAGACAGGAGTCTGTGTTCATTAATGACATGATACTGTGTACTGCAGAGAAACCTAGAAAGTGTGGAACAGGCAAAGAAAGTGATTCAGATACGGCGCTTAAAACCAAGGGGACTCATGCTTTAATAGTCACGGAAGTCACAAAGGAAGGCCAAGTGCCTTAGCAATCTCAGTAAAAATACGAAGTTCTTTTTACATGGTAAATTTCATAATATAAAAAGTTTAATGCCATCTGGAAACTGTCATTTACAAAAAAAAAAGTCCACATAGGCCAAGGATGGCTAACACTGCATACGGGGCATGAGTGCCACGTGGGGAAGGCGTGTGAAGAGGGGAGCCGTGGCCACGTGTGTCCTTCCACGGGGCATCCCTGAAGGACCTGGCACAAACGGGGGCCCAGTTCACAAAGCACATGTACAAGTTCTTTTAGGTAAAAGAACAAAATATGTGATGAAAATTACACAATTTTCACATTCTGCCTAAAGCAAGCCCGAGTATCGTGTGTTTTTTTTTTTTTTTTCCAGCCTGAACTGAAACCAGCGAAGTGAAGGTTCTCCTTGTGGTGGCGGGGGTGCGGGACAGGGCACCACTGCTGGGCACCCGCGGTGGTGACCACCTGCCGGCTTCCCCTGGACAGCCGAGCAGATACGGACACGTGTTGGGCGGCATGTGGGCCCGGGGGCTGTTGCGAGTGGGTGGAGGCGAGAACGTTCTCGTTTCTTTGCATACCGATACCAAACGCATCAGAATGCAAGCTTGAGTGGCTCACTGTGTCTTGGTAAGGGGACTCTGTTAAGGTGAGTGAAGTGTGAAGAGTTCCCTGCGTGGCCCACTGGTGAGAAGTAAGATCTGCTGCCTTGCTTTGTGGTCACACCAGGGTTTGCAGGAGAGGGAGATTTTATTGCTTGCGCAGTTGCATCTGATGGAGCAGAACAGGGGCAGGGGTCCCAGTTTCCTGAGCTGAAAAAAGTCCGTCCAGTGCTGTCTGCATAGTGACCCAGCGACCCCTTCCACATGGGGCGGGGAGCCAAGGACTCCTCTGGGGCCGGTCCCTTCCCTCCACAGGGCTCAGGTTCCCACACATCCCGTCAGTTCTGTCCACTGCCTGACATCCGCTTTCCCTAGACTGCAGATACAAAATGTTACGCCAGTTGCGTTTTCTGCCATCTGGACCAGGAGTCAGCAAAATGTTTTCATAAGAAGCCAGATATTTTAGGCTTTGTGGACCAAGAGGTAAAAATCACAATATTATGTAGATACTTATATTAATATTTTAAAATGCAAACTCCATTCCTAGCTCATGGCTGTGAAAATCCAGGCCTCTGATCAGATTTAGCCTGGAGGTCATTTGCCAACCCCTGATCTGTACAAAGAAATCTGCAAATTGTACAATCTCACATAATTTTTTAAGTGCATCCTTTTTTCAGGGAAGCCTAAAAAATTCACTTTGATTTTACATCCATTTAATTTGAATAGAAAGCACCAAGACTGACAGCGAACAGAAGTGGCAGTTGGTCTTGATTTTATCGTCTTTGCTTTCCTGCATTGAAGCAGAAATCCAGGACCAAAAAAAAATCATATATTCCATTTGGCTTTTGAACATGAAACCTACAACAACAAATGTACTTAGACTAAAACCAAGTTAGGGTCCACAAGCCCTCCTAGCTGGCTTGGTAACCAGGAGAAGCGGTCTGGGTGGTAGGGGGCTGTGCTGGAGGCGGGCACCCGGGGCCAGAGCACAGACCGGCCTTTCCTCCAGGGCTCCTTGGCACTTGGGAAAGAG